CCATTGCTGTCTAGATTGCAACAGCAGATAGCGACCTCCGGTCGGTTATTTTTCGCTGTATTAACAAGATCACTTTGTGTTGGATTTCTTCGTTCATTGGAAGTATTTCGTGGAAATTTAGATACAACTCGGTTTCATTTCTGGTTCTGAAATTTCAGACCAGAAATACTTGTGTTTTCATCGCTTGGCTTCGGCGATCTTGCTATCGCCATTTTCTCCGTCAATTGGCCGCCATCTTGTTTTCGGATTATTCACAATGCCGAAGCAGTCATCCTGTGGTGCTTGTTCCAAGATAGTCAGATACCGTGCAAATGCCCTCACGTGTGTCAAGTTAAATACCACATTTCATGTGTTGGATTATCAGTTGAGCATTTTCGTCGTCTTCGTGAGATCCAAAACAATTTCGTTCAAAGTTTATGTGAAAATTGCCGAAACAAGATACAGCCAGGAACAGTAAAACCGACGTGTAGGCTTCATTATTCCATTGCGAGCAGCTCCGCAGGTTGGGTCCAATAACCTAGCCCGAAGAGCCTTCAGGTTTAAGCTCAGTCTTCCTCCTCTACCCGTACAAACTCACCGGCACGAATTCCAACCGTTTTGAGAAGCCCAGTTGCACCTGGCATAAATTGTTCAGCTTTGTTGTGTCCAACGGGCACTGATGTCCCAGCCGGTGAAAGTCTGAGTGTTGAAGACCAGTGGAAAGAACAAAGAACGAAATTACGAAGGGATGTTGGGCGTTTAAGTTCTGTAAGTCAACAGTTAGCCAAATCACGTGAGGCTGGTAATATACTTCGCCCTGCAAGGTCAACCTCATCCGACCAGAGGTGTTGTAACCTCGTGATCTTCCACGCGTAGGAGTCCAGTGATCCATCACCCCAAGTGCGCTAGGATCACGATGTCGAGTTTCTACAGTCTAACTGAGAGTCCTCGACTCTGGTGAGGAGTCGGTAAAAGTAAGGCAAAGTACCCGTCTTGGAAAGCAAGATGATCAACAAAATCGGCCTATGAGAATCACTTTTGTGGACGAAGCCAGTCCAAGACTGATCGTGTCCCGCCTAAATGGGCTGAAAGGTTTGAAGATCCATGTTCGTCCAGAACTGGACCCAGTAGACAGGGAGCGGCTCAAGTCTGCCATCAGTTAGCTGATAAGACGTACTGGTGAGGGGAAACAAATCTTCGTATCGTAAATTTGTGAGTGGTTTCCAACAATCTGCGAATCAGGATAAACAGGCTGCTCACACTTCAAGCACGCCCGGCGGCTCCTGCTGCGGCCTGAGAGTAGTCTTCGCAAACGTTTGCAGTGTTATGAACAAGTGCGATGAGCTTTGTTATTTCGTTACGTCTGAGCGGCCGGATGTAGTGGAACTCGCAGAGAAATGACTGCATTCAGTTATACACCCAAGAACTTGAACTCAACGGTAACTCGCGCATCCAATGCGATAGACTAAAGAATTTGCTCGGTGGTGTCTTGCTTTACATCCGGTCTTCCCTGCGTGGGAGAATTGTGAGCATCTACCGAAATGATGATGGTTTGTGTGAGCTCCTGTGGTGCTCCATCCACCTCAGGCGCGGAGAACTAGTTGTGGGCGCAGTTTATCGCAGCCCCCTTAGTCGTTGTTTGGATTGGCTGCCCCATCTTCGAACCCACATGAGTCGTCCACACCCAACTTACGCGTGATTTTAACTGTCCTAGAATACGATGTCCTGATGTGCATTTGATGCCTGGACATGGTGAGATTGAAGCAAAGTCCGTGGATTTGATACTTGAAACTGTTGCATCGCAAAACATATGCCAACCATCACGCATAATACCACGCTCAACCTCGTCCTGTCTCGAGCTGATGTTAACGATGTACGAACAACGAGTGCGTGACGTTCGGATCCTGGAGTCCCTGGCTACAAATGACCACTCAGTGCTCATAGCTGATATGGAATTACGTTTGCCGTATACACGTAGGCTGGAACCAGCTTACAACTACTGGAAAACGGACTTCGACGCTCTAACTCGAGCCGCGAACCAACTGGATTGGTCTCTGTCACAAGCTGCATCTGTGGAAGACCGTTAGATATTTATAAAGGAGAGATTGACATCATTTTGTCCAAAATTTGTGCCCTTGAAATGTCGGAAGGTTGGACCGATTGAGCCTCATTGGTTTGGAAATCTGGCTCGGAGGCGACGCAGACTGTGGGACAGATTCCTCATCTCTGGTTCTGCCAATGACTAGGAAGCATATAAACGTCAGCGGAAGATCTGCAACAGTGGAACAAGTAATACGCGCCGTCATTTCGAAGAGTAGCTCTCATTCGCCACGAAGACCGCCCTAAAGATAACCTTACGTGAAGCGAAGCTTGAAACCGTCAGGTGATGTGCCAGTGCTGGATAGCCCCGACGGACAGCCCTTAACATCCAGCACTGAGCGTGCGTTCGCGTTGGCGGCGCACTTCGCTTCTGTATTTGCGAATGATCAGGTGTCTGTTCCGAGTTCGACGTGTACCGCTTTACCGAACTCGACAGTCTGGATTGCGGCGTTGAAGAAGTATGTCAACTACTCGCCAATCTGGACGGCACCAAACCTGCCGAAACTGATGGGCTTCATCCACTGGTTCTCAAGTCACGTTCGACCATCATCTCTCCTGTCGTGACTGACCTTATCAACAGGTCACTGTCCGAATGTTCGTTGCCGGTTGACTGGAAATGTTCGGTGGTGAAGTCTATTGCGAAAGGCGGCGACCCTAGCAAAGTACACAAATACAGGCCAATTTGTTTGATCATATTTGGCAAAGGTTGCTGAGAAAATCGTGAAGAAGGGATTGCTGCAGTTGCTACAGTCAAACGAGGTACTGACGCCAGCACAGCACGGTTTTATGCAAGACTGCTCATGCATTACAAACTTGCTTGTGACGAGGCATGAGCGGTTGAAGGCAATAAGCAAGGGGAAGTCTGTCGTGATATTCATCGAATTCAGTAAAGAGTTCGACAAGGTCAGCCATGAGGTTCGCCTTTACAAACTCAAGACGTGTGGTGTCGGTGGCTCACTGCACCGGTGGATCCGCGACTTTCTTGTTTGACGAAAGTGGAGGATACAGGTCGACGACCATTTAACTGACTGGTATCCCTCTACAAGTGGCGTGCCTCAAGGCACTGTGCTGGGGCCCACTCTGTTCCTGATCCACATCAACAATCTATCACAGCTTCTCCGGTCGCCGTGTGCCTTGTTTGCGGACGCCTTGAAGATTTGGAGAGAAATCGACGCTCCAGACGACTGTGGTGTACTTCATCAAGACCTCAACCGCCTATCCACATGGTCTACAGCAGTTCATCTCCCGGTCAACCCAGCCAAGTCTGTATTTATGAGCCTGAGGAAGGGTGCTGACGGCCAAACCCACACCCTTGACGACCAACCGCTATATCCCACACCCTCCGTGAAGAACCTAGGTGTATTCTCGCGCAACGATTTGAAGTCCGTGGACAACACGAACAGGCTATATCGTAACCGACTACGCATGCTTTGCGCGCTCAAACGTAGCTTCGTCACATGGTCTGAAGACGTTGCCACTCGCCTCTTCCGTCATTAGGCCAATGCTAGAGTACGGTTCGCACGCCCAAGTTCCGATTACCCGAGGCGAGGCACAACAGATCGAACGGGTCCAACACGTTACTACCAGGCTCATCCCGAGTTTACGTGGCTTGGAGTAAGAAGAACGGTGCGAAAAACTAGGACTACACCTTGTCCTACCGTCGGGTGCCAGTCGATCTCATTATGACCTACCGTATTCTATATCTCGGTGACTTCCTCATGCTGAGGCCAATGCTGCACTTACGAGGGCCATGCAGCACACGCGGAAACCGATACAAACTTGTCGTACCGGATGTGCTTCGAATGGAGAGTGGAACAGTTTGCCTGAACATGTGATGGAGGCAACATCTGTGCAGCAGTTCAAAACGTTGTTAGATTTATATTTACCACTATTCGATTCAGAGAACGATTGCACACTTACGATGACATGTCATATATGTGAGTCCTGCAATACCGTGAGTCAGATATTTTAAATGTTTCATGAGAACGATAACGATATTCACGGTTGTCAATTTTTATAACGTTTTTCACCATATTTCGGATGAGTTGTACAGAAGTCATTTCTACTTGATCTAAAATACATTATTCAGTATATATATATATATATATATATATATATATATATATATATATATATATATATGTATATATATATATATATATATATAATTACGTTTGTGTGTATGTGTGAGTGAGCGCAGCTGATTCCGCAAATGCGCCTTGTGTAACTAAGTCTCCAACTATCGCTGTGGTCCATCCTGAGGGTCTTCAGGTACGGAGAAAGTAAGTACCAGCCGGTGGATCCACACGCCTACCTGATTGGAGACCAAAGAACAAACAGTGCTGATGGCTTGTAACTATTCAAGATGTGGAGTACAATCGAAACCAATGGAAGAATTGTGCACATACCTGTTTAGATTCAAATGTTGGGCCCACAACAATTTGAAAAACGGTGTGTGAAAATAATAAAAATGCTCCGTTTCCCTTGCGACATTTCTACCGGTAATCTTCCGTTGGATTCCATGGTTTTAGATGGACTTATGTCTAGTTATTAGTCTGTTGCAAACATATACCAGCCAATTTTTACAGGCCACATATGCCACGATTGGCCCCTGTGGCTTATGTTAACTAAGTGTGGTAGCGTGATAACAGCATACACCGCATGCCGAGGAACGCGATCAACGGGGATCGGGAGGACATGGCCTAGCTAACGTAAGCGATTAAAGCGCAGTATATATACCGGTGAGGTGACCCTCTGAACACCAAGTTGCGGATAGTGATTGCTCGGTGCTCCCACTTCTCCATCTTAATCACGGATGATAAAAGAAGTCAGTTTTCAAATGTCTCCAGTGGGAAGCCGTTTCTGAAACTATGCATGTGGTGATTGTAGTTTAAAGAGGATAATATGAACGATAGACTAACCTCCCAGGTTTCTATCGGTGATCCGGAAGTTCAACGGGCAGAAGGCCTTGGAAGAAATAATTCGAGCACCTTCTTTGAGGTTTGCGAAGCGCTGCTTCAACTGGTGGTCGACTTCGGGGCCAAAAGCAAAGTTATTTGCGAACAAAACGCCTGCGGATGAAATTCTTTCCTGACATTCCGGTGAGAGGAAATCGCCCCGCTCAAGCTAACAGATAAATGAATCGAGAGGGAGGTAACTGGGATTAAAAGCAACTATGCAGCTATGAAACCAAAGCAAAATGATGAGCGTCGAGAACCGGGTAAGGGAAAAATAGGCACAGAAGAGTCGCTGTAGCGATTCACACAATTTGTACAAAGATCCCAAAGGTGTGGTTTAGCGAACTTTCACATCGCCAACGACAGCGTGACGTGTAAGTCAGGCGTGTCGAGAAACAAGCTGTAGGAAGAAAGCGAGAGTGCCACTGACACTAAATGTACCATACGAGAAAGCATCACGAGGAACGGTGATGGATGATTTGATTGTTGGGTTTAGTAGCACAATGGAAACCAAAAAATAGAAATGTGGTGAACTCAGCTGCCCTGCTTCCGATCGTCAGGACAACAGGAGTCAATAGCGACTGAACAGTAAGGACAGATCGCTAAAAATCACAATAAATCAAAGTGCGGTAGACAAATGAGCCTAACAGACAAAACAGTTCAGTTCGATGGAACAACTACGAACCCAGCACCGAAGTGCGGTGAATCCAGTTGCCACGACTCACATAGAAAGAATGATAATAAATAGCGACAGCAAAATAGTGGGGTTGGATGAAAAGAAAGTGAAAGAAAATAAAACCAAGGTGTGTTGAATTAATAAGGATGGAACCAGAACGAACAACTAGATGCAAGGAGCTGAAAGGAGGAACGTAACTCACTGCGCCATGTCTGGAAGGGCCTTCAAACATCCGTGTGGACCATCCCGAAGCCCCCATCCACGAAGACTGCATGCACCAGCCTGACTAAGTGTCTCAGTCAGTTACTTCATGTCATTATACCATGTCATGAACTGGTCATATCGAAGTTCCGACCAACTTAGGGCAGCCACAACTTATAATGAACGCCGAAGAAGCCGGTCAGCAGGCATACGGAGGATCTAACTTAGGTAACGCAAGCGGTTACTATACAGCGAGCATTCGAGTGTGGCATCAGAAGTCTTTCTGCCGTAAACCAACTGGTGGACCTTAGCACTGCTTACCCGATCTTCCCAACAGACGTGAGCAACACTCCGCAAGCACCGTGGTCAGATGGCATTTAATGTTTCTCTTCGAACTGCCTAGGTCCCTGATCCATACAATGACACCGGCAGTGTTATGTATCCTACATTTCACTGACAGACGGATATCTGCCGTTTTCAAAGATAGTTGAACCCCCGGAAAGTCACACGGGCCTTACTGATACGCGAAGTAATCACAGATACAAGTGTAAGTGAACCGATCTGCCACTTCCAGTGGCTGCTCGGTAATAGCTAGAACCGGTAGTATATCGGTTCAATCTTGCAACAGTACTTGCACATTGAAGGTACAAAGCACATACCGAATCGCGCAACGCTACGCACCAGTATATTCAATAGTGTTTGCATAGCCACTGCGTCAGACCCAAGAAGAGCTATGTAGTTCCTTACTCCAGGTTTATCAGTCGATCACTTGGCAGTACTTCCACTACGGTAGAGTCTGAAGGAAGCGAGCAATTCATGATCATTCCGGTCATAAAGTTGAAGAGTAAGCGAGATAGAGAGCAACTGTGGTGAAGTCAGGAGACGGTTTTCCGTGGACCCTTATATGACCTCGCTGGAGAAACTGCACAATGGAAATTAGTTTAGCCGGCACACCCTTCGTGGATAGGCAGTGTCAAAAGTTGATGCGGTCAACAGAGTTAATGGCGGTTTTTGAGTTAAGGAAAACCACCACTGTCGGCTGTCTGTAAGCGTGTCCCTGTTGTAATACTTGGCGAAGAATAAATATGTGGTAGATGAAAGCCAGCCAGGTTTTCCGTAATTCGGTTCTCACGTGGACCAGTAAGTCGTCAAACAATGACACCCATGAGTTGGTAAGTAATGGAAACAAGGCTAATTCCTCGACGATTTTCGCATGAAGTACGCTGACACTACAGTTGACATTCGCTGGTCTGAAGGCACTTCAGTGTTCTAGATCAAGTTAACTAGAGAACTAAGTTCAGTCAACAAAGAGTTAATTCCATCCTTCAGCAAAGATGGAGAAAGGTCATTGTGTCCAGTAACTTTGTTTCGTTTCAGCACAGCGAGCTTACGTTGAATCTCTTCTGAAGAGGGAGGCGTAACATTGGATACCCACGTCGGCCATGGAGATTTAATAAACGGCAGGATCTCAGCAGACCTGCTGAACTGATCTTCTAAATGTTCCAACCAACAAGCTAGTCGAGGAGGTTGAGAATCGATCAACTGTCTATCCCAGCTATTATCTCACTAATTGAGGGCTTCCTTGGACCCGTGTTCCGAATGATCTGGAATAGCACCCGAATATTCCAGAAAGCCCGGCTTTTTCCGTCGTACGGGCCCCTGCCATAAACCAACGTTCCTGGTCGATTCGAAGACTCTCATTTGTCGTTTCACGGCGTTACGGGCTCGCGGTAACTCAGTGCCCATTGGAGCCTGTTACCGTGGTATGATCAAACTGAGCAGTGACAGATACACATACACAATTCGGACATCACAGGTTGGGCGCACCACAGGCGTCAAAGGCATTCTTCATGGTCCACTTGAGACAATACCAGTCAGCGTTCGGCTCATCATACATCACTGACAATTGGTAAGCAGACTGTGAGTTCAAGTTGCAGATAAAAGGGTAGAGGATTCGGAACTTCTATGAAGCGGGAGGCGCGCCAGGGGTGCACGCACTAGAGCATGGTCGGAATCCAGGCGTGTGAACTTAATTGACGGACAGTCCTGGCCTGATGTGCGCTATCAGTAACCGATGGCAACGTGGTCAATTTTGGCCGTCGAAACGAGACTGGACCTTAACGTGGTGCGACGGTTTGCGTACCTCATTGACCAATTGAGCTAAACTGGGTGGTGCCTCCGGGCATCTTGAGAGCTACTCCTCCCAGGTTGGTCAATGGTGAGAGGTCAGACAAACTCAGTCTCCTGGTCCTCCAGGTTGGGGGTTTGAAATGGGATGGCGTCCATTTCTGTAAAACTAAAACACTACCACCCCGCTGCCTTGCGGACAGGCTTTTGAGCCAAAGGCTATGGATGAGGACCCAAATCGTCCTCCTGTCTAGGTCTGGGCGCCCTGGCAGTATCTCAGTCTACATACAACCATGACATCTTCTTAAAACATAAACTTTATCCTGCATCGGCCGTCGCGCTGATTATCAAGGGTCGCCTTATCTGCAACATACAGCAGGGCGGATAAGCGAAAACATGCTACTGCTGGCGCCTCCCTTCTTTCTTTTCCACCTTTCTCTTTTACTCCCATCCCGGCCCCCATTACTAACCTTCCTTCTATAATTCCCAGCCCAATTGACAGCAACCGAAGTGCTACTAGAGTAGAATCATCTGCAGCCACCATCCCACAGCAACTATCGGACGCCTATCGGCAAAAGTTCATTATAAGGCCATGCTGTCCCGTTTCCACGGCGGCATTCAACGTCCGCACTCTGAGACAAACAGGTCAGCAGGCTGCACTCGCACGCACCTTGGACACACTGGGTGTTGATGTGTGTTGTGTGTCCGAAACTAGGATTAATGACCCTAACGGGGTTATTGAATTGACTGCACCCGGCTCATCCTCTCGTTATTGGTTGCACGCATCCGGAGACGCCGATGCGGCACTCACGGGTCAAGATGGTGTAGGTATCATTCGCAGCTGCAAGGCTGAGTCGTCGTTGGTTGATTGGATTCCGGTGAACAGCCGTTTATGTGCAGCCCGTTTGACGACATCAGCTAAGGTGAATTCACGAAGTAAAACAAAACGCCGTTTGTTTGTGATTTCCGTTTATGCTCCCACCGACTGTAGTCCTAATGCAGTCAAGGACACTTTCTATCACGAACTGAACGCGCTACTACGCAGTGCTACTAGTTCAGATATTATAGTACTTGCAGGGGATATGAACGCACAAGTAGGGCGTCTGAGCTCTTCAGAAGCTCAGCTGGGTGGTAATTATGGGCTTAACTCCGAACGGACTGACAACGGTGAGCATCTGCTGCAACTGTGTGCGGAGCACCAGTTGTTTCTTACTAGCACTGCATTTAGACACAGTGGGCGCCGAAGTGCCACTTGGCGTTCACCTGTAGCTGGCCAGCGATGGACACAAATTGACCACATAGCCATAAGTTACAGGTGGCGTGGTTCCATTCTGAATTGCCGCTCATACTGGAGTACCTATGTCGACTCTGATCATGCCTTGGTGCGCTGTCGTTTCTCCATGAACTTTACCGGAAGGCACACAAAGCGTCCTCTTCGACTGGCAACGGAGAAATTGTCCCAGCCCTCGGTCAGGCAAGCCTATCAAGATGCACTGCGTATCGAACTTTCGCTGTCTTGTTATAATGACACTGAACTTCAGTGGAATAGGATCTCGGCTGCCATGAACGACGCAGGAGCATCTGCTTGTGGCACTATCCATCGTCAGCGCACCAGTCACTGGATATCCGAGAGGTTGGTGAACCTGTTGGAAGCTAGAAGACACCTCCCGGCTGGTTCTGAACACAATGTGACCAGACGGGCTATTAGGCGTGAACTAAAGCGGAGCCTACGTGCTGACAAGGAAGCCTGGTGGACCAGTCGGGCTCAAGAAATGGAGGAGGCACGAGCAGTAGGCAATTACCGCAAGCTCTTCCAGCTAATCCGCACCACTGGTCCCAGAAAATCAGGCGTCAGTGAGGCAACCAGAGACAGCGCGGGTGCTGATACACAATAAGGAGCGCCGTATGGCTCGTTGGGTGGAACACTTTCAACATCAGTTCAGCTGGCCCCCAGCTCCTGAACCTCTTCCTACTCAGGTGATGCAGGCGAGCCATGGACGGTTAGTTTAGAGCCTCCGTCGGAGGCCGAGGTGCGAAACGCGATCATAGCCCTCAATCGTTTTCGTGCGGCTGGCCCGGATTCCCTCCCACCTGCACTATTTAAGGATGGAGGTGAGGTCCACTGCAAAGCACTGACCTCCCTATTCGAACGTATCTGGAACGAA